GTAAGTTGCCCCAATAACCACTTTAATTATAGAACTACAAAAAATCATTTTAATAAAGTTATTACTGTGGTTTAATTCCAGAAAAATCGGTCTTTGATTACATTTATACAAGAAAATGTTGCCCCGAATAACTGTTCTACTGGGTTATGAGTGCAGTTGTGTGCACTACATTTTAATAATTTGTACGTTCTTGGTTAAAATCTAATTTTATTTTAAAGTCACTAAGAGATTCTGATTGTATGATAGTTATGTTCTTTGTTTATAATCATTTTGCTGATCTGAAGTGATTAGTGGTAGAATGAATGCAGGCAACAAATGTATTTTGTTGTAATAGGTTGCATTTGAGGATAATGTCAATACCAAAACAAAAATATAGTGTATGGTGATTTTTTTTTAACTTGGGGGTGAAGCATGTGTTGAGACTAAGTGAAGAGAACTTGCAGTTATGTCTCCAAAGTCAAGTTCCATTGAATTTCTCCTCTCTGAGATACATACCCACCCACCTTCCTCTCTTCAGCCTTCATTAACTGATCACTAACCTTTGGCTTCATTTTTAACTCCTTCAAAACGGACATCACCATATTCTCCTCAAGAAGGCTAAACAGTTCTACCCTGCCCAGTTTTCACTCCATCTTAAACTTTCACCCCCTCCTTCAACATCCTCAAAAATGTTAATGTCGCAAAATTACATTCCCCATGATTCAAATCATGCAATCTGACAATTTCATGAATGCAAGTGACCAGCGAGCAGTTTTACCCATGGGCATTCTCTATGATGTTTGCCTATTAATTTTAACAGTTTGATGATAAATTGTGAGCAGTGCACCAATTTTCAGTTATACAGAGCAGCATACAAAGTCTTTAAGTAGCACAATCATAAAACTGGCAAATGAGTGATATGGCAAAGAAACTAATAATGCATTCTAGAATTTTGACTTGGATCACTGTCCCTCCTTAGCATTTTCTATCTCTCTGATGTCTCTTGATACCCTGATTTGTTCTATTCTCCTCCAAATTGTCTCCTCAGTAGTCCACCTGCTCATTTGTACCTGTCCCAAATATAATGTGTTTTTAATTCTCCTCCCTACTTTCTATAACAAGAACCTAGCGCAATTGTTATCAACAAATCTCAATGCCTTAACCCTCATTGCCTTGCCTGAATCACAGAATTGTTAAGGTGCAGAAGGAGGCTATTTGGGCCATCATGTCTGTGCAGGCTGTCTGACCATTTTGACTTGCTGCCTTTTCCCCATAACCCTCCACATGCTGAGATCTTCTGCGTTCATCACTTTGAGTCTTATCTTGTATTCTCTGAATTAATCTCCCTGCTTTCATCCTCAATGAATTTTAACTAATTTGAACTTTTTGAATGGAAATCAAGATATAGAAATTGGAGTGAATTGTGCCTATCTCGGATTAAAAAAAATGCCAATTTAACGGTGTGATGGCCAATCTACACTGGCATTGCTCCCATTGCAAACTCATGAAGACCTCTGTAAAGTGAATAATCCATGAGTGTGGCGGCATCATTGGGTGTGCTGCCTTATCTCCAAGCTGCACAAGAGTCCTATGAGTGTTACCACTTTGAGATCCCTGCCCTTTATGTTCCAGTTGAACATCCTTCTGTGCCTCCTGACATTGACTTCACATTTGGTGCTTGCAGTCTGCCATATGTGTATTAATATGGATTAAAATGGACGAGGGTTGCTTTAGCAGTCAATGTGCTGTGCTTGGTAGCTGTCTGATAGTGTCTGATAGACCCCACACTATGTGATGATATGCTGATGGTACAAGGCTAGAAAGAAGAATAAGTTGTGAAGAGATCACAAGGCATCTGCAAAGGGCTACAGATAGGTGAAATGAGTCATGAAACCTTTGCCAATGAAGTATAAGTGTAGGAGTATGTCACCTTCTCCACTTTGGCAGGAAGAAAGAAAAAGCAGTGAATTATTTAAGTGGAGAGCGTTTGGAGAGCTGTGAATTATAAAAGGAACTGGATGTCCTGGCACATGAAGCACAAGGTTAGTATGCAGGTTCAGCAAGTGATTTGGAAGGCAAATAAGTTTTCTTATGCATCTGTGGAATATGGGTTTCACTGGCTAGGCCACTATTTATTGCCTATCCTTACTTGGGGTGGCATGGTGGCTCAGTGGTTAGCACTGCTGCCTCATAGCGCCAGGGACCCAGGTTCGATTCTCGCCTCAGATGACTGTCTGCATGGAGTTTGCACATTCTCCCCTTGTCTGCGTGGGTTTCTGCCGAGTGCTCTGGTTTCCTCCCACAGTCCAAAGACGTGCAGATATAGGTGGATTGGCCATGCTAAATTGCACACAGTGTTCAGGAATGTGTAGATTAGGTAGGTTACAGGGGATGGGTCTGGGTGGGATGATCTTTGGAGAGTCGGTGTGGACTTGTTGGGCTGAAGGGTCTGTTTCCACACTGTAGGAATTCTATGAATTACCCAGAAGGCAGCTATGAGTCACCAACATTACAATGGGTCTCTAGTCACGTGTAGGCCAAACCAGAAAACTGATTTCCTTTCCTTAAGTGAACCAGATAGGTTTTTGCAACAATCAACATGGTCACCATTAGGTGATTCTGTGCAGGAAGAACTCAATAGATTTGGCTGCACCTGTGGAGAGGGAAACAGGGTTCACATTTCGAAAACCAGTTTAAGAAATGATTGCAGAAAGGCTATTTGGCGAAGGAAGTCTGCTGTCCTACATGGGATTACCGATCAATAGCAATCTGGTTGACTCTTAACTGCCTTCTGGAATGGCCTAGCAAGCCACTCAGTTGTACCAAACCACTACAGAGAAGGCAGCAGATGGACTGCAGTTGTTCAAGAAGATGACTCACCACTGCCTTCTCAAGGACAATTTGGGATGGACAATAAATGAGATCCTTGCTGGCAATAACCTGCGTTTTTTTCCCTTGTGCCTCGTGGTATTTTTCACCTCTACTGCTGTATAGCAGTGAGTAAGTACTGTTTGACATAGTTCTGTGCCTCCAGTCCTCCTTTCTGTTTGCTTTACCTTGGGCCTATCCAGTTATTAGTAGTAGTGGATACACTCCTATGGAATATCTGTAGAAGAGACACTGTTTGAAGATAACAAGAAAGTTTTTTGCACAATAGCAAAAGGTACAACTACATTTAATCAGGCTGAATAACTTGGACCTCAGAAGCTGGTATAGAAACGTCTACTCCCTCCAAAAGCTAGGTACAATTCCTTCTCGCTATCCACAGACTGTAGAATTGGTGAAGCCAATATTAACATGAACATTAACTCCCTAAGAAATACTAGCTGATAATAACAATATTTCCATGTCATGAAATAAAATAAAAGCTATTTCAGTAACCGTACCATGCTGCAGTATCTCATTCAATTCTTCTGCCTGACCCCTCCCTTCTAAAGCATGTCAATGTTTTATTCAATCATTCTTTTGGCCCCAATGCTTCATTCTGTTTACCTATTTTACCTTCCTGCTCTGAAATTCTTTTTCACATCAGAACATATCTTTCCAACATAGAAAACACAGGTTAAATTCCAATTATTGTTTCACTTGATTTGGGGTTGCTTAAGGTTAAAGCTGGGTGTCTAAAATGAAAAATGGCCCACATTCCAGCACTCACTTTGATCAGTCATAAAGAAAGACAAAGACCAAAACATTTTAAAAAACAATTATGAAGCATACACAAAATGAGCTTTTCTGCTGCCCCTTTGAGGAAAAATAACTCTGTTATCACAATGCAGAGCACAAAAACATTGTCACAGTTTCCATAAGGTTGATTGTGCACATTCCTGAACATCCTGAACTCAAAGTCATCAGAGCAGCAAAGTGTTGATGGAATTTGCAGCGTTGCATTCAAACCACTAATGTTTTCTAGCAAGGCTCATATTAAACCCAGATTTTCAACCCGCACTTTCTCATCTGGCTTTAGTTTGAATTCCTTTTTTTTAATAGTGGAAACAAGCCTTCACTGATGACGAGAGGAAAATACCAAGCTAACAGTTTCTATTGATGAAAACAATTGGAGTTCAGGCCCTATATGGTTAGGTCCAATCTGAAGGAGAATTCCTGCCATTGTACAATTACAAGGATCTGATGTATAGTTTGTAAATTGTATCCATTTGCTGAGCTCATGTCAATTACTCGTGTACTGTTTCCTTGCACATTCAGCGTCAGCTGCAGTATAATAAATACTGAAACAGATTGAACCTGTGTAAAATATTTTGCAATTGCAATTCATCGGTTTTGTAAATAAAGGAGTGATGTGGGGGCAAGATAATTGTCTCACCATTATATACAGAATTAATAGGAACTGCAGTACAGAAGTCATTTGTCTCATCATGCCTTTGCCAATACTAGCTGTTCAACCTGTAGCTGTCTGCTTGAATCTCAGTTCCTGCCCTTGACCCATGTTTTTTTTGCATGCTTGCATTTCAAATACTTACGCAAATCATTTTTAAAAATTATATCATGACCCGTTTCACTCGATATTTTCAAATATTAGCAAACATCAACATAAATGGGCAACACATTGTAAAGATATTGCTGTGGTAATTCCACAAATAAATCAAAGCATCTAGTGTGATAGAATTTCAGCTACTTCTGCACAGTGGCCTTCACCTGATTTGTCTGGTATGAAGTACTTACTGTCATGCTATGCAAAACCATGATTTTGTTTTACCTCAAATAACCAACACTTAACTCCTTCCAGTGCCCACAGGCCCTGAATATATTTATGCTTCAAACCTAAGCCAAACTTCTGAGTAGCAGTTGATGACATGAACCTGATGAATCAGTACCTAAAAGGCATCATTAAAAGCTAACAGCCTTGACTGCTAACATTTGTGTCTAATGTAATGTCATTAATTCCAGGAAGTGTTAAAAGTTTGAAGATTTATCAGTCACTGTTATACTTGGTGCTTTTTTTTTGCATTGTTCTTCAATAATTAAACAGCTAACTAATTTGTACAAGTTGTGACTACTAACAGAGAGCAATCACCTCACAGCAATTTATCGGCAAGAAGATACAATCAATGTCGTGAATAATGGATTTATTCAGAGTCCACGATTTCCTCTCAACTATCCAAGGAGTATTTTATTGACGTGGAGGTTGCTGTCTCCTGAAAACACAAGGATACAGTTGGTGTTCGATACACGTTTTGGACTGGAGGAACCGGAAAATGATATTTGCAGGTAAGCAGAGTAAATGGGTAAGTTATGAGACATTCATTGCTTAAACTGACCATTTGTGTTGTGGTTCGTCTTAGAACAATAACCTAGAATGACCCTTGCTTGTCATATGAAAGGTGCTAGTTTATGGGTCAAATTGACTTGAGGTCAGTATACACATGAATGGTACAGCTGTAAATGCATTTACAGTATCAAATGACCGCAGATGGTGCAGGGCTTCAAATGAGGATAGACTCCAAAGTGGATGGCATAAGGTGATTGGCATTGCACATTTTGCAGCTGTTGATAGAAATGGAAGCTCTGAATTTTCAACTTGACATGTTAAAGCTGACAGAGTGCAGAAGTACAGCACTCCAGTCCTAGAAACATTTGTATCCTGAATTGGAATTAATTTCCATTCCTATCAAGAACCCACCCCATTCATTGTGTTTCAACCGAATTGTGCAGAGGACAAAGATGCTGCTTCCTGCCTCCCATACTGGCCGTGGTTTGTTCCAAAGCTAAATTTTAATTACTACTATATATAACGTAAATCTGACCAAATAATTGGCTGAACTTCAATCAACTTGTCTCACAATTCAATGCACAAACTTTAAATAAATAAAACAAGGCTAGATAGGAATGGCACGTACATGTCATGCACTACAGTCACAACGGGTGGGTGCTTATGGAGAGCATTACAGTCACAGACAATCACATCTGTGGTAGGTGTCTGCACCTCAAGGAAGTTCACCTTAAGAGTTGGTGAGTTGGAGTCCAAAGTATAAACATCAGAGAGAGGGAGAAGGACCTGGACTTTTTAATGCAGGTGTTAATCACGCTAAAAAATTGAATAATGGACAGGATGGTGTGACTGAGAGTCAGTGAATAATGGGACCCAGTTGTAACACAGTTGTAGTTAGAGGAACATTAAACTATGTTCTAATGCAATAGATACAATGTTCTTGTTGTCATATGAAAGAAGGCAAAGTTGGCAGGGCAGTTAAGCCAAAACGTAAATAGAATGAGGAGAAGATTCTGCTGAGGGATCATAAGGTGCTATGGTCTAAAGTAATAAACAGAATCTCAAAAGTAATGATCTTAGATCAGTCCCTGAGCCACGCACAATTTGATATATGATCAAACCAATCAGAGAGTGGTGTAGGAGAGAGAAGTTTTGACTCATGAGTCATAGGAACCAGTACTGGGAAAATTGTAGTTGTTCCATTGATAAGGGCTTGTTGCTGGGACAAAATCCAGGAACTCGCATCCCCTTGCCCAAGTGGACAAGAAGATAGCTCACCACCACCTTCTCCAGACAAGATTATGGATGAACAATAAATGCTAGCCTAGCCAATGACACCCATATTCCATGAATGATTTTTTAATGGTAGTCACCAGTTGGGGTGTTGCAAGAGTCAAGCCTGGAGACTCAGTCTATGTTAGAAGGTTAGTTGTGAAAACACAAGTCAGCAAAAACATGTAGACAAATGAACCATAAGGTGAAATGTATTGTGTAGCAAGAATACAGAAACAGAATATGTTTTAAATAGTGAGAAACTTTTAAATGTTGGTATTCAGATGGATTTGGGTGTCCTTGTACATGAAAGAGAGGAAGTTGCCATGTAGGAATAACAAGCAACGAGGAGGACAAATGGTTTGTTGACCTTTATTGCAAGGTGATTGAACGACAAGAAAAAGGAATTTTATCGGGCTTTGATGAGACCACACCTGGAATACTGCATCAGAAAGATATACTTGGAGGGGGTGAAACAAAAGTTTTTGGATTGATTCCTGTGATGAAAGGGCTGTCCTATGAGGAGAGATTAAGTTTAATGAGCCGATGTACTTTGAATATTAGAAGAAAGATGATTGTGTTGAAACATAAAAGGTTGACAGAGTAAATGTTTTAGAGATTATTTCCCCAGCTGGGGAATCTAGAATACAGGGATAAAATGTCAGGATAAACATTGAACATTGAAATGGACATATTTTGATCTCTTGTGGAATTAAGGGTCATGGAGAGTGAGTGGGAAAATGGAGTTAATGCTGAAAATCAGACAAGATGGTACCAAATGGTGGAGCAGTTTGGAATGGTCATTTGACCTGGTCCTGCTCCTGTTTCTTTGTCCTTGTCCTCTTATGGTGCTGAAGGACAGACAATTTAATATTTGGCCCTTCTGAGAGCTGGGCAGCACATGGGGAACCCAGAGAGGTTTATAAAATTATAAAGGCATTGATAAGGTGAATAGCCAAGGTCTTTTCCCCAGGGTAGGGGAGTCCAAAACTAGACAGCATAAATTTAAGGTAAGAGGGGAAAGATTTAAAAGGGACCTGAGAGGCAACATTTTTACACAGAGGGTAGTGCTTATAGGGAACGAGCTGCCAAAGGAAGTGGTAAAAGTGAGCACAATTAAAACATTTAAAAGACATTCGGACAAGTACGTGAATAGGAGAGGTTTAATAGTATATGGGCCAAATGCAGATAAATGGGACCACTGTAGTTAGGGAAACCTGGTCAGCATGGACGAGTTGGGCCAAAGGGTCTGTTTCCATGTTGTATGACTATGATTGTGTGTGTTTTTTAAAAGCCAGCCATTGCATTTATATCTGATTTACAGGTTTCCTGGTCAATTAGCGTGAGTGGGCATGACACCACCCCATGTGAACTCGTTTTAGCTGAACTGCAGAAAGGGAATAGATTATAGTTAAAAGATTGTGTGGGTGACAGACAGAAAAATAAAAACCTGTATTAGTGGATTCCCAAAACAAGAAGACTGCATCAGAGATGTCTCCCTGGACCAGAAAGTGCAGTGGTTAAGAGCTGACAAAGAGATGCTCTTTCCCACCAGTGAGAAACAAAAGCCTAGCTCAGACAGCAAGAAAGGAAAGCATGGTTAGAGGTAAGTAATGAGGCTAGCAGCTCTCTTGGATACAGTATGGGCACAATTTAATGACCAAATTTGAATGGGAATGATGAGTTCAATAGCACATGCAACAACCTGCTTAATATTTCAGGTTGATTACTCTAAAAAGGTGGTGTTAATCTGAGGTGAAGCCACAGCACAGGACTGTATTTATGCCAGCTGCAAAAGCAGCTTATTATAGACAGAGCTAAGCAATTTCACAACCAACAGATCAGACCAAAGTCACCCAGTCTCGAATGATAGTGGGCATTTAAACAGAGGAAGAGAAAGTTTATTGAACATCTCCACCCTCGGTAATTGCAGAGCTTAGCATATGACTGAAAATACAAGATTGAAACATTTTCCCCCATCTTCAGCAAGAACTGCTGCATGGATGATGTATGTTTTTGCCTCCTTTTGAGATGTCACAATCAGAGTTAGCAATCTTCCGTAAATCTGATTCACTCCACATGATACATAGAGACAGCTGACTGCACTGATTGGAATCAGCAAAGACAATGGATCCCCACACAAGACAGTAATAGTTGATGACTAGTGCTCCAGAAATACCTGTGAGCCTTCCCATCTACAACATTGGCATCTCTCTGTAAGAAGAGAAATTGCCCAGCTATGTCCTGTTCACAAAAAAACAGGAAACATCCAATGTAGCTGATTACTGTCAATCAACAGCAAAAAGATGGAAAAGGGTCAGCAAAAGTGCTGGCAAATGGCACTTAAACAGCAATAATCTACTGACAGATACTTGGGATTCTATAAAGAACACTTGATCTAGACGTTTCTAATCAACATGTTTGGACATTTCATGGCACACCTCCAGCACAGTGGGACTTGAACCTGGACCTACTGTCTCAGAGGTAGGAACGCTACCAATGCAGCCCTGGTTTACATATGTAGAAACAAGCTGAAATCCAGAGCGAAATAAAATTGATTTCCTTGATTTGAAAGAAAGCATCTGACTGAGTATGGCATTGAGTAGCCATAATAAAATTGAAACTGGAGGAATTGGAGAAAACTCTCCACCAATTAGAGTCAAACCTAATGCAAAGGAAGATGGTTGTTGTTGTTGAAAAACATATAACTCAACCCAGGTCATCTCTGCAGGAGTTCCTCAGGGTAGTGTCCATGGCCCAAATATCTTTTGTTGTTTCATCAATGACTTCTCTCCATTATAAGGTTAAAAGTAGGGATATTCACTGATTATGTAATGCTCACTTATATTCACTACTCCATTGATAGTGAAACCATTCATGCCCATATGCAGCCAATGACACATTTGCTATGAGGGAGGGCATGGTTGATATCTTCAATCTCCTGTGCTAACATTGAAATTGGTGAGACTATGCTTATGGTGATGGGCTCCCATTTCAGGAAGTTTCTCTTTGACATCGATATCAACAAGTGATTTACAATAGGAGGATTCATATCTGCTTTAAAAGACTTGTTGGAAAGAAAGAAGACATGACAATAAGACATGGAGAACATGCAGGCTTGAGCAAGTAACATTCACACCACACAAGTGCCAGGCAATGGCCATCTCGAACAAGAGAGTCCAGTAACCTCACCTTGACATTTAATGGCATTACCTTCACTGAATCCTCCTCTATCCTCATCCCAAAGTTTTTAGTGACAGAAACTTAACTGCATCAGCCATGGAAAACCGGTGGCTATAAGAGCAGATGGGAGGCTAGGATTTCTGTGGTGTATTGTGTGCTGATTCCCAAAGCTGCTCTCGTATTTCCAAGACTCACGTTAGGAACATGACCCATACTGCCCTCTTGCCTCAATCAGTGCAACTCCAACTTGAATTTCAACAGGATAAAGCAATCTGCTTCAATGGTACCTTATCCATCACTTTGAGTGTTCTCTACCCCCATCACCACATAAACTGGCTGCTTTGTACAAGACGTACTACAGCACTTTACTAAGGCTTTTTTTAATATCATCTTCTAAACCTCTGCCATGTCTTTAGTAGAAGAGCTAAGGCGAATGGCAGAAGGGAACAGCACAATCTGAAAGACACTTTCAAGCCACACACCATCCTGACTTAGAAATGTAATGATGTTCCTTCGCTGTCACTAGGTAAAAATTCTGGAACTC